ATATGTAAAACAACAAACGTTGTTATTGCAATATTATTTTTTGAAATATGTAAAACAACAAATTTTCATACAGCATAGCCAATACTATTTTTAAAATTAAATGTTATAGTATAACTAATATAATTACATAAATCAATAAATGTCGTTATAATTTTTCATGTAACATTAGAATGTGCATAATTATAATTAGTATCATAATATTATCGAAAGAATAAGGTTCACAATATTTTTTTAATTGTTGAGGACAATAATATTTTTTCAAGGAGGAGGAGAATCTCAACCACCCATATTTACTATATTTTTTTTATTATTTCTGTCAAGGGACTGACAGATGCTTTAGGAGGGGCGTGTTATGTAATGAACTTGTCATTTATTTTATAAAAATATAATAATATTGTATTATTAAAATAACGGTTACATACCCCTGGCGCATTGCAGCACGTTGTGTAACCCTGACGGGTACACGATTATAAAACCCCTGTAATGCGCATCGACAAAGCATTATTATTATTAGTGCAGTCGTCGACTGGAGTTCTGGGTTGTGAATACCGAAAACAACTTGTAAACTATTATTAACCCTTACGGGACCGCACAGATTCCAAAACAATCTACTGTAACGCCTGTAAACTTGATTTCATTGTGTATGCTATGCAATTTGTTTGATAAGAATTTGTGGTCATTGAAGGACATACTTTCATAATATCAAATTATTTTTGATCATTTTATAAAGAGTGATAACATTTAAAACAATTTCCAACATGCATAGTGGGTTGATTTTGACATGTTTCACAATAAAATGTTGTTCGTCGCCTTCCTCCTGGTGCTTTTCTGTCAGAACAGACAAAACAATCCCTTTTTCTTTCTCTCGCATTTAGAACGTGCCACTGATTAGTCAGTGTATTGTCTGAGATCGATGTAGATGGAAATGTTTGAGATTTTTGAAAATCACCTCTGTTTTCCAAAAAAGACTATATAGCAAATAAAAAGGCTAAAAATACTTCTAAAATAACTAATAATTATTTTCAAAATACAACACTGTTTATCACTGCTATATGTAATCTATTCGATTTGATGCAAACTGAGTCATTGTATATAAAATAGCTTGTGTCTCACAGGTAGCCTAACAGTACTCCGTCCCCAAAGAGTTAAAGTAAAGAAATATTAATAAATAAGAAGTGTGTTGTCAATATCCAATATAAAAACTCGAAGTATCCTAGGTTAATCAAGTCGTCCACACACCAACCAAATACAATTCAATATATATATATATATATATATATATATATATATATATATATATAGATAATTGCTTACCTAAAAGCATTAATAAAAGTAAAACTATTAGAAATATGTTTATTCATAATATATGCATTACCAAATAATTGCATAAATGCAAAAGATCATTTTTAATTTTAACAAAAAGGTTGTTCATTTTTTATTGTTAAAATTGGAATGATCCATCAATATTGACTATGATTGAGTATTATATTTTGTTTTGAGATTATAATAATTAAATTACCATTTACTGTCAATTTTGAACTAACAATTGAGATTCAAATTTATGACTTTCTATTTAATTTAATAAATATGCATATTGGCAATGAAAATGTTGATTTATAAAACTTAATTAATGACTATGTCATCATACTTTATCTGCTATTTAGCAGATTAAACAATTCTTATATAACATAAAGTTGTACAAAAGCTTTTATTACTTAATTATACTAATTTATAATGGGTGATTGTGTTTTTCTCTTGTGTGCAATTTATGCATTGGTATAAGTTTTATGCCCTTATGGCATAATAACACAGTTCCAAATAATAGTTTAGCCTAAAATCATAATTTATTCCATTATCAATATTGGTGAAGAAATTATTAATCCATAAAATATAACCTCAAATACGCACATCTCCAACAGGATAGTCCTTTCAATAGAAACAAATGTTGACTTCTGACATTTTGATAAAACACACATCAACTTTAAATAAAATTTTAACAATACACAAAATCTACTCAGTTCAAGTACGCTAATTTTAATGGATATCGAAATATATGAAACAGGAAGACGCTTTACTTGTTTAAATGATTCATGCGACTACAATATAAAAACTCAAATTATATATAATAATAAATAAAACATTCGTAACGAATACAAGTAAGGACAACCCTATTGTACTATGTACATTGCATTATTTAATTTTGTGTATGTAAGTGCTACTACTCTTCATACACACTGACATATGCAAATACATGTAGATAAGCAAAGTGATACTATTATTACATCTAGATGCAACATCATTCAAATACAATATAACATTTACAATATGACATTTAGCTCGGGCACACCAACATTCATGAATATTTATTTTCTACAAGTAAATTTTGGCTTATTCAAGTATTTTTATATAACTACCTTATTTTTAAATGAATTGAAATAAAACATTGTAATAAAGAATTTGTAAGTAACTTATAATATATAGTAGATTTGTTCCCATTCTA